AAAAAAACCTTTTGAAACTATAAATTCTAAAAATAAACCTAATTTATATGGCAACTTTGAAGAAAAAAAAAACTTACCAACCAATTTACAGTAAAAGGTAAATAAATATGACAATAAAAACAGACAATAAGAACCAGAAGTGTAGAACTTTAATATTGTATCTTATCAGGTAAATTTGTATATTATATAAGTAGAATTCTTAAATTATAAATCATTTTGTGTCTCTTTTTGGTCTCATTACAAGTGTTTGTATCCATTTGATGTCTTTTTGTAGTCTTTTTGTAATTCTATAGTTGTATTTCTTCTCTCGTTGGTCACGTTTGGTCCCTTTTTGATGTCTCTGTGGCGAATTTACATCGTTTTTTTGAGGTCTTGCGTCACTTGTTGGTCATTTTGAATTGCATATGTCTCCCATTTGGATCCATTAGTTTCTCGCTTTGGTTGCTCCGTATGGTCATTTTGTAATTTCAGGTATCTTTACTGTCGCATTTGTTCCATTTTGCTAATTTTGTGTCTCTTTGTGGTAGTTTTGCATGTTTTAATTGTTGTTTTTTTCCCCAATTTGATCATTTTATGTCTAACGTAGACTGTTTAGTGTCACATTTTGGTCATTTTACATATTTTTGTGTCTCCTGCAGACCCCCTGACACCCTGAAGATGAGCGAATGTGACTCCGATAAAGAATCTTCTGCAGCCAGTTTAGCTCAGAGTGATAAATCCAAAGACTATCCTCCAGCCTTAAGCAGCCTTCGGCACAGAAGAGAAACCTTCAAACTGGGATGATCAGTCTGGTGTAATTTTTGTGGTCATTTTGCATCATCTTTTTGTTCTTGTGTGTCTTTTTTTGTCATATTTTGGTACTTTTACATGTTTTTGGGGTTGATTTTTCTCCACATATTTTGTCCTTTTACATTTTTTTTTTTTGCCAATTTGCATCACATTTTATTCTATAGCTTAAAGTGATCACTCTAAAGAATATCCTCCAGCCTTCAAGCACAAACCTTCCAAGTAAGAAGATCAACGTGGTGTCATGTTTGTGATCATTTTGTGTCCCATTTTGATCGTTTTACAGAATTTGCTGGTCGTCTCATGTCTCATTTAGGTCATTTTGCGTTACATTTAGTTGTTTTACATATTTTCCCTTTTTTTGCATCACATTTGAATTATTTCACATATTTTCATATTTTCATTGTTGTTTTACATCACATCCTGTTTTTTTTGTTCAGTGTTTTTTTTTTTAACATCTTTTGTGGTTGTATTGCATCACATTTTTTTTGTTTTCTGTGTTTTGGGGTTTTATTTTATCACATTTTGGTCATTGTACATATTTTTGTGTCTCCTGTAGACTCCCTAAAGCCCTGAAGATGAGTGAACGTGACTCTGATGAAGAATCTTCTGCAGCCAGTTTAGCTCTGAGTGATCAATCCAAAGAATATCCTTTAGCTTTC